AGATTCTCTTTGTCTTTGAGTTTTGTCAATTTGACTATAAACATGTCTTGGAGAGGACATTTTTTGTTGAATGTATTGGGAAACCTTTGAGCTTCCTGTATGTGAAGATCTGTATCTCTCTCTATACCTGGGAAGTTTTCTGCTATTATTTCACTGAATATGTTTTCAATGCCATTTCCTTTTTCCTCCCCCTCTGGAATACCCATGATTTGGATATTGGAGCACCTTAGGTTGTCTGTTATCTCTCTTAGATTTTCTTCAAGTTTTTAAATTCTTTTTTCTTTTTTTTTTGTCCGCCTGTGTTATTTTGAACACGCCATCCTCAAGTTCAGGTATTCTCTCTTCTGCTTGATCTGGCATGCTGGTTAAGCTCTCTGTTGTGTTTTTTAGTTCGTTTGAATGAATCAGCTCCACAAGCTTTGCTACATTCTTTTTAAGGGCATTAATTTCTTTGTACATTTCCTCTTTCAGGTTGTGTATACTTTTTTCCATTTCCTTGTATTGTCTAACTGAGTCTTCTAGCATCTCATTTAGTTTCCTTAGGATTGTTGCTCAAAATTCCTTGTCAGTCATTTCAAGGACTTCCAGTTCTTTACGGTCTAGAACTTGAGAGTTGTATTCCTTTGGAGGTGTCATACTTTCTTGGTTTTTCATATTTCTAGTGTCTTTCCGATGGTGTTTAGTCATTGTGGGTAAGGCTATTGCAGTCTACTTGTTCCACCCTGTTGTCTGGAGCAATATCAGGGAGTTTTGTTGAGGCTCAGTTACCTGTTGCTGCCTCAGGTCCTGGGGGGTTGGCAGTGGCTGTGGCCTCTCTTGGGGGTGGGGACTCCTGGCTGGTGCCCTGGGGGTCCCATGCATGCAGAGGGCAGCAGGAACTCCACAGCTCCGCTGCTGCCTCAGGTCCCAGGAGGCTGGCAACCAATCACTAGTTTTTAAAAAAGTAATATATGCACCTTACTTGATCATCTTTTGTCCTCTCTGGGACGAACACACACTCTGCTTAGTAGATCTCTGAAAACAGATCCTTGTCTCCATGTTCGGTGTCCTCTGCATGCTGGTGCAGGGGTCGGGTCCCCAAGTCCTTGTACAGCTGTGCTCCTATGGCTTTCCTGGTCTCAGGCCACACTTTAGCTCTCCCAGGCTGGCATTCCACTCTGGTAGCTCCACAAGTCTAGGGTCTCCATGGCGGTCCCGCTCTCACAGAACATATGCTTCTTTAAAGCCAGATTTGTATTGCGTTCCTTGTGCTTTTTTTTTTTTTAAGCTTTGTGACTTTGATAAGGTTATTTAATCTTCCATCATCTATAGAATAGAGATAATGATATATGCCTTGCAGGTTGTTGTAGAGATTAGAGATTATGTTTATAAAGTCTCTGGCACAGAGTAGGTCCTCATAAAAGAAGAAGTTTTCCCCCTACAATTCATTGATTTGATTTAATTTGGCAAATATTAGCATCTAATCTGTGTTAGACTCTGCTGGGAATGCTGAAGAAATAAAAAACAAGACAAAACCCAGAATTCCTGAGTTCAGAAAGTTGCATTGCGTAGAAGGGACACTGCCATATAAATGACTAACAGAAATGTGCTAAGTGCAACAGAGGTATATATAAAGTCCTAGAAGCAATTAATTCTTTTTCCAGTCATGTGTGTAGAATGGTTTCTAAGTATTTCTTTTGGAAAAAGGCTTGGTAATCAAGATGGGGGGCAAATAAAAAAAGAGAAAGAAAAAAAAGCAACCCTTAAAGGATTCTGTAATCTTTGAGGTGCCAGCTTTTTTTTTTTTTTTTTTTTTTTTTTTCTTTTTTTTTTTT